TTAGAGTCTTAATAAGAACCTCTTTCCATAAGCAACCTTGTGGGGAGTGGCAGTAGCTCATTAGTTTCAGCAACTCCTCTCATTATTTCTTTTTCCACACATATATTTATTACTTTTTTATCATACTCTCAGCTATACAATAACACAGCCAAGTGTAAATAGGAAGAGCACAGAATACTTCTGAAGGAATTTGGTGACAAAGACAGGGAGGGCATAGGTATAGGAAGAGAAAAGGGAAGAGAAAAAGGGAAAAGGGAAGAAAAACACCATGGATTTTCCTGTCTTTATAATTTTATTTGAAATCTTCCAAAATTAATATCTAAGAAAAAGAATCACGGAGGATTTCTTTAAAAAAAAATCAAAGAAAAAGAAAATAAAATTTCTGTAATTAATAGCTCCATTGTTAAAAAAAAAGAAAGAAAGAAAAAAGAAAAAAAAAAGCCTGTATTTTCTGTATATAAAACCTGAATCATTTTCCTCAGGTCATGCAGCCAGCTGTGCAGAAGGCAGCCAGCCGTGCTGCGAGCAGCATCTAGGGAGCTCGGGCATGCGCTCAGGTGAGCTGCTGGCTAAAGCGACAACCAGTTTTCCTCTAGTTCCAAGCTCCTGCTTTTGCTCCTTAGTGGTTGCCGTTACTGCTGGATGCTCTGTGTTTGTCAGTATAGGGGGAATATCACTGCACTGTCACTCCAACTAGCTCCATTAAATATAGGAAGTTTCACTAAGGTATAATCAGCACTAAGGTACAATCAGCTAGGGGGAGCAAAGGAGCGCAAAGAAAGAATCGGCTTATACGGGAAGAGACCTGCAGCATCTTTTACTGAATTTGCAATTCTCCTCAGAGCAACACTGCTTACTCAAACCTTGATATATGCAAAGAGATATTAGGACCATATGATTAATTCATCTGCCAGTTTAATAAGCCTGACTCTCCATACTATTAGTAGATCAGGATTCAGTGACAGGAAATAATAGGATTAGTACAGCAGCATTTTCAGCTCTTGTGATTTCATCACAGATCTCACTCCATAAAAGATTCCTGCAGAATCTAACACTTGGAACCATGTGATCACACTTTTCATTAAAAATATATCAAATTGACTATCCAAATGACTATAGGCAGAATATGAACTTTACATAATGAACTCACAAAATATGAACTTTAATAGCTCAAAACACCACACACACACATATATATACACAAAAAGTTTGTATATTGTATTTCTTCAAATTGAAAATCATGTGCTTTTAGGGATGTAACTAAAGAACTGTGAAAACTCATAACAATAATACCATTTTTTCTCACATAATAAAGCAAAACACAATAACTGCACACAAAACACACACAAAAAAAGGAAAAAAAAGTGTGAATATTCCTGAAGAGAGAATAAAAAGCTGACAGTGAAAGCTCTCGGACCCTGCAACATTTTATATATGCACCTACAAGATACTAGACTATATAGGATACAAATTCGCAAACAGTGTTAAGGTGGACACTTTTTGAGAGCATTGTTCATGACTATCCTACCAATAACATAAAACCCGCAATTCCGGCAAGAGCTTCCTGGTTACCTGGAGCACACGTTCCTGATAACCCATCACCTGGGCAGCAGCTCAAAGTTGGCTGAAACCTGCTAGCCCTGCAGTGAGTTTCCAGGATTCTCCCTGTGGTTCTGGGAGCAGAAGCCTATGCATAATTTTCTATAGTTCATTGTGGCACAAAGAAGCATAGAGCACATTTGCAAGATTTAGCAACAAAAACAGAATGTAAATACAGCATCCGTGTAGAAGGAATAGTTAGCCTCAAGCTGCTCATGTATGGAAAAATGAATTTGTCATTGAAGATGTATCCAGAGTTGACTTAAAAATACGAAATCACGGCTTTATGAAGGGCAATATAAAAAAAAATTGCAGTAACTTAAATTCCACAATGAATTAATATGGAAAACTTGTCATTCTGACTTTTCCATTATAGTGTTTTACATCAGATAGTAATTAATTTCTAATTGATCTTTCCCAGAATATGTGACCCACATGACTGTGCAGTTCAATTCCCCGCCTTCATGCTTCCAATTCTTTAAGCAGAAAACAGCAAGGCTAATGAGGCCAAAGACTATGTTTATATCCAAGCTCCTTAAACAGGACCACAACCATGACAAAACTCACGAGTGCTGCTTTATCTTACATATTTTGCGATACTGCCACTATGTAGGCTTCCCTGCATAGTTAGCACAGAACCTACTGGCCTTGGCACTAGGTTCACTCAGAGACAGTTATGGGGCTCTTGCATGGCAATACATCCAGTTGCAAACTGAACGGCCCAGTGCGACTGAATCTGTGCAGTGAAACAGTCTGGAACCAAGGACACCGTATGCAACCACCTGTACCTGGAGAGGAAGGTTATTCTGCACTATCGTTAGCCTGCTCCCTGGGACTGAACCCTCAGTAGCAGCTGGAACAAGTTGAGTTTCTGCAGTGCACATTACAGCTTGGTTTCATCCAAAAAGCACCCACGGTAAAAAGGCATGACCACCAGATGTGCTCCAAAACCTCAATCACGATCCTTAATCTTGGAATTATAGAAAAAGTATTATTCTAAAAGAATATTTTGTTCCTTCAATTATTTTGAGTTGATAAGATATATGAAGGCTGCTTCAGATACTGTATGCTCAACATCAAGAAAAAAAACACTTGAATGACACCTAGTGGAAATACAAGAAACAGCTGAGGACAATGGAGTAACCACGTTACAGTGAAAAGGGCAAGGAGAGAAATTCTCTATCAGAATGAGTAGGAAAAGAAAGAGCTATTTGATAAAATCGGTCTAGGATGATTTAGGAGAAGAATTTCCTAAATCAGAAGATTTTATCTCTCTGCATAATGATCTTCCAAGGAAAGTGGGATATTTAGCACCTGCAAAAAATAAGTCTGGCAGAGCACATAGAAAATAACAGTACAATAAGCAAAATATGAATTGGATGAAATTTATTATCTTCCTAAGGCTTTAACAGTCAAGGTCTCTAGGGTGCAATAAATAGTAGGAATACTTTGGGCCTGGTGGATACAGGAACTCCTGGTGTGATAGAAGCCACAGAACTTGTTCAATTATTTTCTGCAGGGAATACTCCTTGATGAGTGATATATATGAGTGGATTTCAAGTTCAATCTTTTTTGTTTGTTTCTTTTTTGTTTATTCACATATTTGCATAATTCATGAATTTCCACTGAGTCACATCCAATTACAAAGAAATATTTTAGTTAGACTGTTGTTACCAGCTCATTTGAAAATATGAAAAAAAAATCAAGACAATGAAACTTAAAAAAAAAAAAAACACATTTGCCATCTATTGACAAAACATGACATGTAATAGTAAGTTATTTCAGCATAGGAAAGGGAGATGATTCTTGAGAGACTTCTGTTCTCCTAGGTCAAAAGCACTGATAGGAATTAATTACTGCAATTCATTAAACTTTTTTTCAGGGGTGGAGGGAGAGGGGGGGCATTCTCTCTGAGTGTCATCTAGGCAGTTCATGCATTTTTATTTGCACATTTAGCTTTAACTTGCAACTTATTTTTTCTTAACTGCAGAGACGGTGAGTTATTACGTGTCTTTGCCTGTTCTTTTTTTTTCCCCCTTCTTCTTTCTAATTAATCAATACGAAGCGAGGCTGGCAAATATTCATCTAGAGTTTTTTGGTATAATTGCTGGAAGCAAGGTAGTGAGGGAGGTTTTGTTGGGAAACGAGGATGTCAGAAATACCTCAAAGTTGAGAATGCTGACAGAGCCTTTTTCATTCAGAAAAGAAGTTCAAAATGATCCACTCTGTAGAAAATAAGCACCTGCAGAGAATAACAATTTGTTCAGATTGGCTTTTATTAAATTCTCTTAAAAGCTGAATTCTCACTTGGTCTACAAGAAACCAAAGTAAGTCCTAAAATTAAAAATGCAAATGCCTAGTATGTTAAGCTTTACTCCTGTCAGATACGCACTTCATACATTTATGCCACTCAGAGCTGCAGAAACACAGTCACGGTCCTCATCAAATTTGATAGATTAAGGGACTCAACACAATCAGCTACTTCTTCAGCCACATGTACACAGCAGCTGGAGGAACGCAAACTACTTAGGCAAGAAGCAATGAGAGATCTACAACACAGAATTTGAGCACAGATTCCAGAAAATTCCAAATATTTTGCACCTCTCTCAATTCAAGATGCAGCATTTGATTTAACTACATAACAACAAACTCTTTAGTTTCTGTAGCAACATTTCTTATCATATACATCATAGATTGTGTGATACTGGAAGCAAGTACAGGGTAAGATAAGCATTGATGAAATTCATGGCCTAGCAACGTGTTTCACTTCCAAAAATTATACATATGTTGTTAAAAAAGAGAAAAAAGATCACAATCTCATCTATGGATCTTTCTATGAAGGTTATCCAAACAGCCAAATTGCAAACGCGTAAGTATGACACAAGCACTCTTTATGTAGATGGACAGATACAGGTATGTTACACACTTGCGTGACCCTGCATTCCCTCCAAACACTGCATTATGTTCTTAGACGCTACACCACTATTATTCAGCAACCTACACTCTCCAGCAACTTCCAAGTGAAGAAATTTGCAGGACTGTAGTTCTCTTTTGAGAGAACTACACAGCTCTGAAGGATGAAATTTGTTAGATTTCAGATGAGTCATTTTAGGGTTTCAAGAAATTGCCAGGTTTAATGGAAAAGTATTAGTAATAAAAAACAAAAGCATTTCCTTGAATCTGCAGAAAATACACAAAATCCCCAAGCACTCTGTGACAAGGCACATGTCACTGTTTGACATCATGCATCTTCCCACAGAAGCCATGGGAACGGTTTCCTCTAATGCACAAGAGAAAAAACTTATCATATTTAATCCATTTCCTTAACAAGTCTTTAAAACTCAGCTTCAGTTGCTGTATGTACTCCAAAACTTTACAACACAGAGAGAAAGGAATCAGAAGGAAAAAATAAGGGTAAGTGCTGGACAGCTCAATAGTTCTTTTTTTACATCTTAGTCACGAGCCTTATTTGGAATTTCTTTGAATTTCTATATAAGATTTTAGTAGATATAACATAGGTTTATACTCAGATGACAGAGTCAGTTATTTTGTCTGCTTTAAATAAAACTAGATTTCCTGAAAAGTAGCAGGCCAAAGATATATTATTTGCTAACAAAGATACAAGGAAAGGTTACCATTAATATTCCAGCTTCTCTATGATGAAGTTTATAACTTTATGTACTGCTAACCCCACTTGAAATACAGTTAGGTAACATTTAGACCAAAAAGCTAAGAATGTCTAACTATATTTTGAGATGTTGACTATATAAACCTCATAATTAAATTGGAGAAAATTATTTTGAAGCAAAATCAAACTACTGTGAGTTTTTTTTCCCCACAGTTTTAGTCATTATTAAATCAAACTTTCCGGAGAAAAAATACAGTCTCAGCTTATTTCAAGTTTATAAAAGGAAACACTTTCTTTTTTTGAGTTCTAGAATCTCTCCACATTTGAAAACATATTCTAAAGATTTTTTAGTTCCAAATTCCATTCTACTTGTATGAATGGAAACTCTGCATTTCCTTATGCAAGTAAGAAACTCTTTTACTCTACATTCGTTATGTTAATAGGTGTGCTCTATCTGCCTGCTACTTCTTACGCTCCGTCCAGTCTAATGTTAAATCAGTCTCCTGGCATACATCTAATGTTTTTCTGCAAGCAAAATTATACAACACAGCTTTTTGCCTTCTTCTATTCAAAACGAAGTTTATCTAGCACTTTTTACAATATCTGCCATATCACTCATGACAATACAATCAGATATATTTACAATTTTTTTTTGTAAATAAATTGTAAGAAAGAAAAGAAAGTACATTTTAATTATGGGACGTATGGAAGTCATAAAAAGAGATAGCTTCAAGATACTAACTTCCCCAATTTGGGGAATAGATATTTCAAATTCCAATGTGATCACAGCGCTGGCCATCTCTTATTAAATGCAGAGAGGTAGGAAACGGAGGCAGGAAGAGAGGAGGCTAAGATGGGGAGTGGAGTCGCTCCAGAGAGCTGCGGTGGCACAGTAAAAGGGATGGTTATCTGCCAGCCTGAAGTATGCTTATGTAACCCCCTAAAAGATGAGCAGTTATCTGTGCACAGATATGCAAAATTTTCAATTCTTTACTCATTCAAATTTTAAACTGCACTTTCTCAGAGATGCATGAAATTACAAGACAGAAAAAAAAAAAGAACCGTTTACCATGTGAAATTTCCTGCTTACGAGGATAAGGATATAAAAATGTTTAGAATTATACAGTCTTCTAAGCTCCAAGTCCAGTTTCAACATGCAGTTTTAACACTAGTCCAGCAAAGGTCTAGAAACTGAACCAAAACATTTGCCTAAAACTAACCTACTTTTATCACCACCTCCTGGAGATATTTTCTTCCAAAGCGTTAGACAATGCTGTATTTTGTACAACGATGCAGGCACAGTAATAATTTGGATGCACATGGACTCAGTGTGCTTTACCCTCCCTTTCCACTTGTACTACTTGGTTTCAAGCATAGCTCTATGGGAAATAAAATGGAAGGTAATGACTGTCTTCCAAAAAAATTCAGGCTTCCTGAAAATCCTGAGAAAGAAATACTATTGTATTCCAGTTCTGCATTTAGAAACATGCTAATTAGTGAACCATGCTTATCAGACTATAATTCTTTTCTTCTGGGCAGCTGAAGCATGAACAAGGCAGAATTCACCACTGTTGCGGGAGTTGCCCTATTACTGCTGTTCCACACGACCCAAACTGAAGTGTGTCCTCCTCCCTGCCTTTGCAAGTCACTGGGAATAATGAAGGGTTTGGAGATAGACTGCAGTTCAAGGAAGCTGAAGGAAGTGCCTGCCTTGCCTGTTAACACCAAGAAGCTTTATCTGCAGAATAACAGCCTGACCACGGTTCCTCCAGGTGCTTTGGACAGCCTACTCAGCCTGGAAGACGTGAAAGTGTTTGACAATCCTTGGAACTGTGACTGTCATATTCTTTATTTAAAACTCTGGCTAGAAGATATCTCTGAATCCTCTCTTGCAAATGTCAGATGTGCAACCCCAGCTCCCATTAAGATGAAGCTCATGAGACAGCTGACTGGGAATGAGCTGGGCATCTGCAAGAGGCTTCTGCCAATCAAAAGTCTTGAGTTCTTTTGGCGAGACCTCATTTTAATTGTTGTAGCAATAACTACACTTATTTTAGTAGCATGGGCTCTGAAATTCTCAAAAAAGCTGGTCTACCAAATAAATATAAGCCAATATGACTTTAGTGGCCCACTGTTGCAGCAAGATAGCTTCAAAAACCGTAAGTTACAGTGAGCTGTTCACTAGCATTAGTTGCACCAGAAGTGAAGCTGAGTGCAAACCAGGACTTTAGACTGAGAAAAGAACAGCCTGAGTCAAAGGTTTTTCTATGTTATAAAATGCTTTAATTCATAAACTAGAGGATAATGTGTATGTTTTAATGTTAAAGTCTATAAATGATTCACACTGGGGAATAACAAGAGAGAAGTCATATATGCAGAGAAGTGGGTTGCCTGGAGTGCCTGACAATCGAACAGCAGCTCATATATCTAGAAACAAAAGACAGGGTTGAGGATTCAATTCAGAGAAGGAAGAAAATGTAGTAATCATGATCTCCCACATGACATTGTAGAAAAAGACTAATAATTTGTTAAAAAATGGGATATCACTTAGGAACATAAAGATTTATTTAACACAATGTTTAGATGAGCCTTAGTATTTCAATACAAATCAAGAAACATCACCTGCAGAAGGATCAGAAAATAAATGAAGAAACAAATAAAGGATTTGAAAACATATCTTAAAGCAGATAATCAATTCAATTTAATAAAGAGGAATTTAAGGAACAGCAAGATCCTTATGAACAGCATGATCTTTTATGAATCTCTATGGAAAGTAATTTGTTACCAACACGGTTGAAAGGAAAAATTAAAACATCAGACTAGAAACAGTGCTCACTAAAAACAGTGAAAAGAATTAATCACTGAAACAGCTCACTAAATGTCAAGGTGAATCCTACAGTCTAAAATCAACACTGGCTATTTTTCATACTGCAAGTACCACTTAAAACGACAATTATTTTAACAGAAGTTCCCCCAGTTATACATAACATCTGCCTAAAATGTTTAAACAATTCTCTTTGCTTTGGCAAATTTCTGGTGGGGCAGACCATGAGGGCAGTGCATCCCAGGGACTGCCCAGCCCCGGCACTGCCGCTCAGTACAGGACGCAGTTCAGTACACGCTGACCAAACCACTCTCTCAAAAGCCTGAACAGCAATGAGGTGCCACTCATCTTTTTCCAACCATGTATCACACTCTAGACAGATAATACTCCAAGTGCAGCACAGAGTTTGCTTTCTAGTGGTACCTCCTTGCTAAAGAAAATAAAGTTACATAATCTGCAAGAAACTGGATGGCTTATAGTAAAGCTATGACATTCTCAGGTGCAGACTAGAACAAAATTCAGTCTGCAAATTTGTGTATTTCAATCAGCTGAGCACATATAATGAGAATTTGCCTGGTTTTATTAAATGTTATATCTCATGAATTATCTCTGCAGGAGAGAATGTCAAAGAAACATATATGAAAATAATAATGTATGCAGTGATGTAATGATATTTTCTCCACTCTGAGCTTTTAAATTTTTAAAAAGCAACCACCATTTTGTATTAATGCAGAATATTAGAGAAGAAATACACTCTGCAGTCTCTCACAGTGAAGAGTTTCCTAAACGATTTTTCTTGTTTTCCCTAATAAAATATAAATCATTAACACTAAAAGCATATCGTTCTCTTCTGTGCCTATAAAGCTATATATGTATTTTTGTACTAGTCATAAAAACAGGCCACGAAACCTCAGGAACTGAATGGGTGGAGTCTAGGAACTTATGCTAAAATAACATTTAACATGCAGGTGAGGTAAGGCCATTGGAACAACTCTGCATTGGAATGTAATTAACTTGAGAGGTTGCTAATGTAGATAAAATAGTAAGTTACTGTACAGCTTCATCTACACAAACATAAATAAATGTGCAGTTACAAATATTTCTGCTTACATGCATGAACACAGCAAATAAACTGCAGAGTATACTGAAAAAAAAATACTTCTTCAATATGCATCTACAGTTCTTCAGGAAGACATGTTTTCTGACCACTTCAACTAAGCAGAAGACAAAAAGAGAGGGAATCTCCTCTCTGGTAGTATTTCACATTCCACTAAACTAGCACAGCGTTTATCACTTTTGAACCATTTGGCTTTTATCTGAAGAAACTCTGAAAATTGGAAGGCTGGAACTGTTAATTAAAGACTCAAGAGCAACATACAGTTCTTCAGGAAGACATGTTTTCTGACCACTTCAACTAAGCAGAAGACAAAAAGAGAGGGAATCTCCTCTCTGGTAGTATTTCACATTCCACTAAACTAGCACAGCGTTTATCACTTTTGAACCATTTGGCTTTTATCTGAAGAAACTCTGAAAATTGGAAGGCTGGAACTGTTAATTAAAGACTCAAGAGCAACATTCAAACACTTATCTAGCAAGGCCACTACCTCCGACTTATGTTCAAAATTGCATAAATAATGCTACAGTTACTAACACCTCCTGCCACAACATGCAAAGACAAGAAAATACAATGTCAGCTATCTAAATTAAACGTGCAAACTATGTTGCCAAAAGAGTGTGTAAAGATCCCAGAAAGCATCATCATTTTCTAAGTTACCATCTCAGGCCTGCAAGAATGCAGAACAAGGAATACATCTATTTTCACATGCCCCTAGGATTTATGGTAAATTGATGTATTTTAAAAAAGGGGAATGTGTTCTTTAGAAACATAAGCACAACTACCAGGACTAATTATAATTAAAAAGTTTTGAGTTCTGGTTTTTATATTTAGTAAGACAAATAGTCACACTCAGCATAACTGAGCTTATTGAATTAAAAACGTTAATCACACTAAGTATTTTTAAACAGTTCTTTCCTATAATAAGCAAAGAATGGATTTGTGTAAAATGCATCTAATTAACATGGAAAATATTTGGGGTCTTTATTTGTTAGACAGAATGACAGCTGAGTCACCTTTTTTCTTGAATAACCCCAAATTCTCTTAACATTGAAGCATAAGGGTAATCGGGCGCACAACTTTTGCTCACCTTGAGACCTATATTTAGGCCTATTACAAATTAATTGTTTGAATTCATACATCACGCTGCTTATTTTTTCATTTTACACTAATAAACATAAGACATTATTTTGAAAAGAGCTACTAATATTTATACAAATAAACAAAAAGGGAAGTCTAGAAACCAGGTACTTTGGTTCTGACCTCACGATTCCCTCCCACACTAAAATGACTTCCAATGTTACTGAAAACAGTGGGTGACTCTTCCTATTTTTGAAACATATAACACCCATTCACAGCTGAAACGTGTTTAAATTGTCTCTTCAAATGGTCTTGCCACATTTGCTTTCCAGGTTTGACCAGTTCCACCAAACTTGATGCCACAAACACAGAATTTTGGATCCATAACAATCATTTTGACCAGTATAGGTTTCAATCTTATATTAATTTCATAAGCCAAGTGGGGAAAAAAAAATTCTTAGAACAAGTGGAGAACTCTCCCTAAACCAAATTTAATGTATTTAACTGTCTAGTACTAGAAATTGAGTGCAATAAATAGTGGCTACATACATATAGGACTCTTACTATAGAGCACATACTGCATTCATAATTTGCACTCTATAATCATCTGAATCTAAATGACCAACAAATTAAGGTATCACTCCTTAATTCAATTCCTAGATGTGTTTGTAGTTTCATTTGGATTGTATTGGGAACCTTCACACTAGGCTTGCACAAACATCATGGAACACTATTCTCCTCATGCTTAAGGCCACAATATTAATAATGGAAGGTAATTATTTTGATGAATATGCTAACAGTCAGCTTTAAGCTGCATAATGTAAAATAAACAGGGAAAAGCTCATTTTCTAAAAATTACTAGGTCTTATGCCCTTCAGCCCACTCTGACTGAGCAAGACTCCTGTAAAATACAACTGCCTCTGTGCATTAATGGAGTCAAACTGTGACATGATTATGCAGTTATTCAGACCTGGCAGTTTTGCTTTGCATTACTAAAGCCCTTGCTGTGAATACAGTCACGTGGGATAGGCCTTCCGAAGTTGGCTAGAAATACTCTTTTCTTCACCAGACATAGACTAATATCTAAGAATTAAAGCGTTTTTTTTTTTTTTTTTTAGCTTTTTAAAACTTTATTCTTCTAATCTCAAAGACTCCAAGCAACAGGAAAGAAAACCCTCTGAAAGAAGGCCAGACAAAGAAAACAGAAGTGCAGCTTTCACCTGGGCAAGAGCAGCCCAGTCATGGTCCTGGAGTTCCTGGAAAGAAGCCATAGTGAGAGGGCAGTAATCTTGGAAGGAACCATAGAGGACACTGTGGAAGAGAAGGATGGAGTTGCTAAGCAGGGAAGAAAAAGGAGAAAACTGTTATTTTCTGAATGGAAATCGGCAGAAGTGCCTACTGCAAGAGAGAAGAGCAAGTGCAACTCTGCTTGAAGTTGTGATACAAGTTATTTTAAAACTGAAGGGATGTTTATTTACAGTAATATTACATGTTTACCACAAAAATACTGTATTTATGCTGTGGATTAACTGCATTTGGCTATTTCTTCCTTTTCTCAGGATGGATTACAAATTTCTCAGGTATTTTAAATCCTAATTTCTTCAGCTGAAACAAATGGGATCTACAGGTACACAGTACCTCTGAAACTCAACCATCACACAGAGCGAGGAGGAAGCCTCTGAACACAGCTTTCTTCCCTTGCTTTCTGTAGTAACGCACACTTTGGGTAGCAGTCAGTTTCTTCCCAAGAGCGCTGGAGCAGCTGCCTGAGATGCACACCCAGCATTTTATCGCTCTGAGGGCTCCCCTGAACAGGAGCTCATGGTTAGAAGTAGTTCTGAATTTGCACTAATAGCTCACATTCATATCTAACCTGAGAGGATTTTGACTGCTCTAAGGTTTGTTTGGCAAGCTATATAAAATTAGTTGATACTAACATCATACTAAAGACCAAGCACAGTCTTGTTCTTCGTAATAAAATACGTACATCGCAAAGTCAGTATGCTTGTACTGTATTTGCTGTTTTATCGAGCAGTTATGTGTGCAAGGATGCCAATTTATTGTCTGGACGTGATGCAAAAGCACCGTTCAAGTATGCAGGAAATGTGTAGAACTAATTTTTTTTTCTCTGTTAGATTAAAAGACAGCTGTCACACAACACTGGTAATTTTCCATTTTTAGCTGTACGACTGCTGATTGCACTGACCACATGGCATTAATAGACACAAGAGTAACTGAATTGGAATAAAGATGCAAATAGCAAGAGCCTAAGAATAAGCAGACCCTAACAGGACTAGTTATAAGTTGTAGATGCCTTTCATTACTGAACTGACACACACACATGGTAAGAATCAAATACTAATTGAACATACAAACATCTACACGTACAGATTGAACAGTGAGACAACTTCGTTAACTAGTCTAAGCTATTTTGTTTGTAGTCTTTAAGATATATTAATTAACCAACACAAACACGTTCTAGTATGATTTTTATGTGTAAATAAATGCCCTGGTTTGGGAAATATTATCATAGAATTTGAAGCTTCAAAAACTGCTTTTTTCCCCTCAGATTCTTAAAGCCCATCCATCTATGGGCTTCCAATATGATTTATATTGGAAGTATATAGTGCTACTACTTTGGCAACTCTAAGAGTCAAAAATATCAACTCAGTTGCTCACAGGAGAGAAATGATTACAAGTTAAATGTCATGTATTTAATAACACAAAGAATCAAAATATAGCTCTGTTTTTCAAAGTCATGGTTAGCAACAGATTTTCATGTGCCTCTCAACTTTGCAAGTCTGGCTGGCAGGAAGGACACAAATATACTTAGAAACATCTGACAACACAGGTTTCATTTTACACTTGTTAGCGTGAGACTTACCACTTACCAATGTTTAATAAACACTGAACATGGTCCATATTGTTCAGACAAGAAAAAAGTCATTAGAACTAGACAGAGCTAAATGAAATCCAAAGAAAATTTCTTGCTTTTGCCTCGGATTCACAGTACAACTAAATAATTCAAGCACTGGATGTTGAAGGATGCTTCTCAAATTTTCCACATATATTTTTCTCTGACACTAGTATCCACAAAAAGTGATTTTGTGGATCATGATTTAAGAAGACTGCTCTGCAATGCACCTTCTCATGGAGTTTTTTTTTTTTTTCATATTTCTTTCATTTTCTGAAATAAGACTGGATTTTCAAGATAAAATAGACAAATTTTGAATGGACTTGGTTTAATAAGAAAGCAATTTTTTAAAAACTATTGTTGAATAGTATAGATTTGAGGGAAAATGAATTACATATTGTTCATTTTAAATAAAATTGCATACTGTTATTATATTATGACTCCTTAAACATCTTTTCAAAAACAGAGCATAACATAAATGTTATTGAAAATTCATTTAAATTCTGATTTCACTTATCAAATATTGATGCCATAACTGCACCTGCAATGACCCATATACAACACTAAACTTCCAATTTTTCAAATTGAGATCAGTGACTAGCTTGAAAAACCAAGGCGGCCTACCTAATGATTACTTTAATAGTACTAAGTTTATCACATTGCTTTCTCTCTTCAAAAATCTCAAGTAAATTCAAGTAAATATTATCCTATTAAATTAGTTCCAATTAAATTTAGACTACATCCAATAATGGGTATCTGAGAACAAATTACTTCAGTTGCATAACGGCCACGTGGCAGCTATTTATGCCGAACTCTTTCCTGGGGCAATCTGTTCCCTGACGCCTTCCCCAGCAGCATGCTCCCA